ACTCTCCCTCCCAGGCCTGCTGGGGGCGAGCTCCCTGGTGCCCCGAGGGCGGGCAAAGCTGGAGACTGGGGAAGCAGGCCAGAGACGGGTGACGGCCCCGTCTGGTCAAAGGGGACCAGGAGGGAAGACATCCACGTGTCAGCGCTCGGACAAGGGCATGGGAGCCGAGGGGAGGCCAGGACAGGGCTGGCTCGTCCCTCAGGAACAGCAGCAGACGGGCCTGTGGACCTTGAGTGACCAGAAGAGCAGCTGAGGTGGGAAAGGCCTGGGATGATGAGCACACAGTGGGGTCGGTGCGGGTGACAGTGACGTCCCTGCCGCTCTCTCTGGAGCATCTTCCCTCACTTCTGGAAAGGCCAACCCTTCATTGTTTCCTTTTTCCTGATAATCCTGAGCCCGGGACGCGTGGTCTCAGAGGGTCCTTTGTCACCAGCATCTGATTGGTTTGGGGGTTTGGTGCTGCAACGCAAGTGTTAGAAAGACCCCTGGCCGGGGAGGCAGTGAGTTCAGTGGTCAGGCCCGGCTCCCAGACCAGGCTGCCTGGGCTGCAGGGTCGACCTGGGTCAACTGGAGTTTATGGGCCCAGTCCACACCCAGCACTGCCCTTCTGGTGCCTTCCCTGAGCATGAGCAAGAGCACCCCCACTTTTGCAGGTGGGGAAATGGAGGCCCAGGATGCTGAGTCAGGTGCTCACGCCCACAGGGTACGTTGAACCGCAGAGACCCACAGGTCTGGGGCTTGGGAGCTTCTTGACTGCTGGATTGGTCCAGAGGGCAGGGAGCCCTGTCCTGCCTCTTGTCACGGGCGAGGATGAGACTCGGTCATGGTGGTGCTGGACCAATGGCAGCAGAGTCCTCTAGGCCAGAACCAGGCCCTCCCCCTCACCCTCTTTGTCCTCCTCCTTCTCAGCTTAATGATTAAGAGCATGGACCCAAAGTCAGACCGCCGAGGTGAGCCTCTCAGCTCTGCCATTTATGGGCTGTGTGGCCTTGGCAAGTTACTTTACCTCTCCGGGCCTCGGTTTCCTTACCTATCAAATAATTCTGTTAATAGCAAATGATAATTGAACCCCAGCACAGAAGAAATAGCATATGGATGCTCCTTGACTTACAAAGGGTTCGTGTTTCAATAAAGCCATCGTGAGTTGAAGACACCATTAAGCCGCAATGCACTAGTGACACTGCCCCTCCAGGTATCACGGAGTGGCCCAGCCTGTCCTGCACGGGCTCATCCACATGGCCTGCCGATCATTTGAACACGAAGCCTGCTGCCCAACAGACGCTGCACGTCTCGTGAGAGTGATGGGACTCCACACACCACACTCCCAGTGAGCAACCCAACAGCGGCCTGGGCACCTTCTGCGCCTGTTGTGAGTAGGACCCTGGTGAGTCGGGCATAGTCTGTATGGATCTCAGAAAGCCTGATGTCAACTTCCTCTTTCCTTGGATTATGAAGGGGGGGGTATACAGAGAGAAACCCCCGGGAGGGAGCATGCCGTTTCCAGAGCTGCAGGCAAGAAGGGGCTTTTCCAAGAGAGACGTCAGAGTCTGTGGTCTTTACAAACGGAGCTCAGAAAGGGCGAGTTAGTTGCCTGAAATCTCACAGCCAACAAGCAGCAGAGGGAGGATTTGAACCCGGGCCTGCCATCCCAGCTCGTGTCCTCGATCCTGATGCCATATGGCCGGTCCTGGTGGTCATGGAAAGATCTAGTGCCTGACCCTGCGTTGAAAATGGAAATATGAGTCAGCAGCTGTCCCCGGGGAGCCAGAGGGGCAGAATGTTCCGCCAGATGCCGAGGAGCAGCCGCCAGCTCCAGAGTTTCTTTCATGCCGAGGAAAGGGAGGAGGAGAAGGCCAGGAGGACGGTCCACCAGCAGAGCACAGCCTGGACCGGCTGCGGCTGGCAGGCGACGTCCCGGCTCACACATCTGGCCTCTGGAATGCCCCAGAGGACGGCTGCGTTTGTGCAGCTCCTTGCAACAGGCGGCTCCTCCAACGCAGGCCTGCCTGGCGCTTGGCTGTTTGGGACCCGCCTGGCGGGAGCCCACCCACCAGGCCTCTGGAGATAAAGCAGCAAGGGACACCAGGCGCCAGCACAGACGGCTGGGCGGCCCAGGCACTGGTGGTTTCCTCATCTTGGAGTGAGGACCTGGTCACCCCGGCAGGGCCCAAGAAGAGAGAGCGTGGCCAGTGCAGGCCGGGGGGGGGGGGGGGGGGCAGGGGGTCTGGTCGATGCTTGCTGATCCACAAAGGAACCAGTGGGCGTGAACCAGTGGGCGTGCGTTACGGTGTCCCCAGCAGCTCTGACCTGCAAGGGTGGGGGTCCATCTCCAGCCTCCACTGCACTCCAAGGGGACACGGTCCTTTCTGGCCCCTTCCCAGGGCCACGCGGAGCCTGCAGAGCAAGGGCAGCTCGGCCCCTCTGCCTCTCCTCCTATGACGGGTCCCCACCTCACTTGGGGCTCGTGGCTCTACCGGGAAAGTTGGGGGCTGGCCAGTGTGACTAAATGAGATGGGTGATTCACACCCATCCCCAGAGGAGTGAGGCCCAGGTCTCCCCGCGGCGCCCTCTGCACACGGCCCCGTCCCGGGTCAGTGTGAGTCAACGCCTTCCAGAAACCGACTCTCACTCTGCCCGGCCCTTTCCTCTGCTCCTGGAGGAACAGGTGAGCGTCAGAGGGAGGGTCAGGACGAGGTGGCATCTCCAGGTGGCCACCGGGAGGAGAGGGCCCGCCAGGCAGCCCCAGGCCTCCTCACCAGTTCTTTTTCGGCCTGGCTGAGGGCAGGGCCTGCGGCCTGCAGTCCAAATTCCTTACCCCAAAGTGGAAAAACAGCCCACAATTCCACAATCGGCGGAATTTTACAAAGTCTCCTTGATGATGTAACTTGCCTGCGACCCACACCACGCTCTCCACACGACCTCGTTTCTTTATCCGCAAAATGAAAATCTTCCTCTGGAGCTGGTGAAATTATCTCTGCAGCAGCGGAGGGCGAGGCCAGGGAGTGGACTGCCACTGGGACAAGTCCCTACACGGTCCCCACTGTCTCCATGAGGGACCCACATCAGATGGCTCAGGGACCTCTGGGACTTTGTTCCTGTAGGAGCCTCTGTTTATTTGGAAGTCAGGCCTCAGAATTCAGAAGTCCAGAGTGACCACACAGGAATTCTGAGTGGTGGCTGAGTGTCACAACCCCGAGCTCATGTCCCTGAGGCCTGGCGGAGACACAGGTAGAGAGCAGAAGCAGGATGTCCCCAGGGCTCTCATCTCCAACTGGGTGACTGACGCTGAGTCACTTCCCCTCTGTTTATCAGTAAGACAGAGACTATAATTCCTGTCTCCTGGGGCTATAGGGCCTGGGCAATGCTTAGCGGTTAGGGGCCTGGCTCCGGGTCCCTCCCCATCAGCTGCTGTCCAGCAGAATGTGGTCGCCTCACAGTGGCACCTGGTCATCCTGTGGCAAGGCAATCGCAGTCCGACCCAGAAGGTAGCTGAGGAGATCACACTGGCTCGTGGCTGGGGCATGGTGGCATTCAAGGACCCATAGGAACTGTGACAGAGTTCCCTGAGGTTGGTCTCTGGCATGCAGCAGATGCTCAATAAGCGCGAGCTGGCTGTGTGAGGACCCTGACACCATTAATGCAAAAATAGACCCACAGAGCGCTAGCCACCAAAGGGACAGTGGAGATCAGAGGCTTCTTTTAGGTCATTTTCTTATATTACCAAGGCGGGGGGGCCCAGAGGCAGAGAGGCCCAGCCTCAGGGAGGCCATGGCCAGGGGCAGGCAGGGCCAAGACTGAAGCCTCTGTTTCTCCAGTCACAGAGCTTGGCACCTGCCCTCCAGCAGATGGGTCCCTTTAGAGCGAGGATGCTCACATGTCACAAAATATGAGGGGCTTCAGACTGGTTCAAGTCATCTGAAAAGATCCGGAGGGAGTTCACAGCAGCAGGGAAATGCCAGTGCCTTCCAGAAAGCTCCTCTGTGAGTCGAGGTGACAGGTCTGCCCCGGGAAGCCTCCCCGTGTTCCGCTGGGGCCGCCTCCCCGCGCTCCGCAGCCCTGCGCGGCCCTGCGTGGCCGCTGCCCTGCGACCGCAGCACACGGAGGCATAAGAGGGGCTGAGGAACCTTCACCAGGCCCCACAGCAAAATCCCTGGTGGGGCTGGGACTTGAACCTGGACCAGGTGGCCCGGAGCCTGTGACCATGCACAGCGGCCTGCTGTCCCTTTTCCTCCTGAGAGTCACCTCCTGCTGAATCACATGGTCTTACTTCCGGGATCTCCTGGTCTGGTGCACAGCCCCGTGAGGCTCAAGGGGTCTTGCCCTGAGGCCAGCACTTAGTAGGACATCGTTTTCTCACCACATTCTGAAGCCCTCTCTGTCAGGGTCTGAGCCCACTGGACACTGCAGAGGGAGGTGGCCTAGTCCAGGCAGGAGTCACCCTGCCCTCAATCTCTCAAGTACCGGAGGTGGGCAGGGTGGCCACGTGAGGGACATGGCTGGGATAGTCAGGGATCCTGGTCCCTCTGTGCCCCCAGGGTGCCTTGGCCAGCACTGCCCCTCACTGGGCCTCAGTTTTCCTCACCAGAAGGTGGGGGTCGGGGGAGGGGGTCAGTAGTCTCCAAACAACTGCCATGTGACCTCCACTTGACAGCTGTGACTGGAGCCTTCCAGGGACCAGCGGCTCGTCTCAGGGGTAAGGAAGAGGCAAAGCGAAAATGGAGACCAGACCCAGCGTTGGACCCTGGGACCCTTGGGTCCTGCATTTCTGTGACCCTGCCCCTCTGGGTCCTGAGGAGTGGGACACACGGGGTTAACGGGTGCTGGCACCCTGGCAGAAGCCTCAGGAAGTACTGAGGGGACTTCTAAGAAAGGGGAGGCAGGAAGGGACACATTTGTCCTGGCTTCAGGGACTGGGGGCCGGAGGTCAGCCTGGCTCCCAGCCCAGCTGGCTCAGATCACATATGAAGCCTTTCAGGGCTGCGTGGCTCTCCTTCCAGATCCTTCTCTGGCCTGCCTCTCTTGGCCCACCCAGGGCAATGCCCGAGCTGAGGCCTACGGTGGGGCAGCTGTGCTGGGAGGAAGGCCCTGGGCTTCCTGGGGGACTGTCCTGTGCTCTGAGGATACCGTCGGCCTCCATGTCAGGGTCAGGGGATATGGTGCTGCCCCTTTCTTGGGAACCCTGGTCATTTGACCTAATGGCCTTGAGCCCTGGTATTCTTACCTGTGAACCAGGAAACACCGTCTGCTGCCTGGGGCAGGTGAGGCTTACCTTTCCTTGCGCCTGGCCTGGTGCAGGAACCCGCTACCCAGCTCCATGCTGCATGGGGAGCATGGCGGGGCCTGCTTGGTGCTGCTGGGGATGGCATGGGGTCACTGGAGCCTTCCTGGGCGTCACCTTCACTTCCCAGAGTCACCTTCAGACCACAGGCATTGCCTGGCCTTGCTGTGTCCACTGTGGTGGGTGGAGCCCCTGCACGCTGTGGGCTCCTGAAATTCAGGGGTCTCTGCACCTGGGACCAGAACCTGGGCCTCTGAGCCTGGCCTCCGTGTTGCCACTGGCAGTGTGAGATCCCCACACAATGCTCACGAGCACCTGTGGCCCCGCGTGGGGTCTGTCCTCGCAAAGCAGCAGTCCTCGGGAGGGCTCTCAAACAACCAGAGGAGGGCCTGGTGGCCGGGCCTCAGTTAGGTCACCAGGATGACCTGTAAGGATGACCTGTGACCCGGAGCACCAGCCAGCCACCCCCTTCTGCTGGCCCTGACCCATCCCAAGGCCTCTACAGTAACTCCCAGCTTCTTGGTCACTGTGGTCACTTTGGGGTCCAGGGACGCCTGAGGGGCTTCAGCTTCCCAGGGCTCCACCTTGGCTTTTCATTGTTGAGGCACTCAAGTGTTTCCTGCACAGGTAGAGAAGGGAGGGTCGGTGTCAGCGCAGGGGTCTTCAACAGCTGGAGACCGTTTCCGTTATTTCTGACTTGAAATGATCTGCTCCCGGGTAGCGCCAGCTCCTCCCCAGGCACCTCTGGAAGCCCCGTGTGAGGTTGCTGGGACCTTGCCAGGTCCACACATGTCCCACCCGCTCAGTGACACGCACTGAAAGCCCACTATGTGCCCAGCCCTCTGCAGATGCCCGGACTGGCCACCTCCCCTCGAGCGCAGGCTGACACTCGGATCAGGACTCCATCCCTCACTGTGCAGGGAGGACTGGGTTGTCCCCCAACCCAGGCCTCCACAGGGCGAGTTGCAGCAGAAGCTCTGGGGGGGATGCAGGCGCAGGGGTGCGCGTGTCCCAGGGCGCAGCCGCGGCTGAGCCCCTCTCTGGCTTCTCCTGGCGCTGGGAACAGGAGCGGGGCCCTACATGCAGCCTGCTGCAGGGTCCACCTCACCCGGTGGAGGTGAGGGAAAGTCAGGGACAGGTCAGGGACAGTTGAATCATCATGTCACAGCCTGGCTCTTCCTCCTGGGGTGGGTACTATGCCAGCTAGGAGAGGGCTTGAGGTCTCCCTCTGTTAGTGAAAGACACCTGTCAATCAGGGAGGTGTACACCAGGGACTCTGCAGTGTCCTGCCTGTGAAGAGCCACCTGGGGCTTCCTTGAGCAAGCCAGCCAGGGGCAGCTCTGGTGTCCACTTCCACCCAAGGAGCTCGGTGAGCTTGCACCAGATCTGGGTCCTAGGGGCAGCGGAGTGTCTACGAGTAATGCTGCCCACATGCGTGCTTGTGTGTGTCTTTGTGTCTGTGTGAGTGAGGGTGTGTCTGGCTCGTGTTGGTTGGTGCGTGTGTCCCTGTGTGTCCCTGTGTCTGGTCTGTGTTGGTGCATGTGTCCCGTGTGTCCCCATGTCTGGCCCGTGTTGGTGCGTGTGTCCCCGTGTGTCTCTGTGTCTGGCCTGTGTTGGTGTGTGTGTGTCCCTGCATGTCTCTGTGTCTGGCCTGTGTTGGTGTGTGTCCCTGTGTGTCTCTGTGGGGGGTCTGGGGAGCACTGTCTTTTTCTCCTCGTGTCCCTATTATCAGGATGATATGGCCCGTGTCAACAAGTACCTGCTCAGCAAAGGACCTGTTGGGGAGGTGGCCTCTGCAGGTCCTGTCCCTGTGTGACTGGGTGAGTCCATCCTCCAGGAGGAAGGACTCAGAGCCCAGGATGGGGCCCTCACCTGCACCATCTGCCCTCTGCCCTCAGCCCACCTGTCTGTGGGAGCCCACCCAGGGCCTGGGCTTGCTGGCCTGGGTCCCCACGGGCTGTGACCTTGGGCTGGCTGTTCCCCTCTGGACGCGCAGGTGCTCAGGGATCAAAGAGCAACCATGACACTGATCAGTGGGCTCAGGGCTGACTGTGTGTCACTGCAGAGGACTGTGCTCCGGGAGGTCATCTTCTCACACCCAGATGAAGTCAGCACAAGCCACGGCCCTGGCCAGGCCTCCCAAGCTGCCCTGCTGCCCTCAGGGAAGCCCAGTCCTACCTGAGCACTCCCTTGGCCACTCTGCCCTCTGCCTGGCCATACTGGCTCCTCCTCCTCCCCCCTCCTCCCTCCTCTCTCCTCCTCTCTCCTCCTCCCTCCTCCTCCCTCCTCCTTCCTCCTCCCTCCTCTCTCCTCCTCCCTCCTCCCTCCTCCTCCTCCCTCCTCCCTCCTCATTCCTTCCCTCTTCCTCCTCCTCCCTCCTCATTCCTCCCCACCCCCCTCCCCTCCCCTCCCTCCCCCTTCCCCCTCCCTCCCCCCTCCCCCTTTCCCCCAGAGCATGTTTTTGTCATCATCAGCTTCATCAGATTCTCCAGTGAAGGTTCCGGTTCCTACATCCTGGCCTCCTATTTCCCACCCTGCGGGGCTTTTTCAGGAGGAGCTCATCAGCTCCCTTCATTCCTTTATGCACAGGATGCCACCTCATTATATTAAACGTCCTGTGCTGTGGCGATGATATTTCTGGTTTACTCTCACGTGATCTTAGGACCCCATGGAGGCGAGAAGATGCAGTGCCCTGTGTCCTGGGGGCCCCTGGCTTTCCTTAGCTGGGCCAGCCTTGGCCAAGCCTCCCGGGCTGGACTTTGCTCTGGGATTCTGAAGGTGACGCGAGGCAGCGGGGAGCCCCTAGTCACCTGGCTGGCCTGCGTGCTGTGCCATGGTGTCAGGGCCATTCAGGCTCCATGCAGAGGGCTCCCAACTCCAGTCACAGCCTCCTGGCTCAGGTGTCACCTGAATCCCAAACAGAACCTTGAATTGTGCCCCACCCCATGACCCCCTGGGGAAAGGGAAGGACAATCTCAGGAGCCTTTGCCAGAAAGAGCCTGGTGGCTTTGTTTTTGATTGAGCTCTGGTTTGCTCTTCCACCCACATCACCTCCCAGCTATGGGTCCTCATCCCTGAATCCAGCTACCTCCTTAGGAAGAACCTGTCAGCCTCAAAAACATTAGATGGGTGCTTGGCCTGAGTCCTGGGCCCCCGTCTAGAATTGACAGAAGCAACTGTCCAATCAGCTCCCCGTACACGATCACAGGAAACTATACCAAGACCAACAACAAAGGGAGGCCCCAGAAGATGCCACTCCAGCAGGAGGAGATCCTAAACAGGGGCTTACAGCCCCAAGTCTGCACACTGAATCTTGCATGAACACGCTGACACCAAGCAAATAATTTTGACCATAATTATTTGACTCTCTTTTAAAATGAATAGCCATGATTGAGATATAAAAAATAAATAAATCAGTCTCCTAGATTGAGTGCCATTAATACCATGAATGTTCTCAGATATTCATCATTCATGGACAGGATAGAGACTCTGTGCCATAAAAAATTGAATCTTGAACTGAATCTTTCTTTCAAAACTGGCTTTAGGGCTGGGGATGTGGCTCAAGCGGTAGTGCGCTCGCCTGGCATGCGTGCGGCCCGGGTTCGATCCTCAGCACCACATACAAACAAAGATGTTGTGTCTGCCGAAAACTAAACAATAAATATTAAAAAATTAAAAAAAAAAACCCTGGCTTTATTGAGGTCCACTTCTGATATTGTCAGATTCACAGTAACCAGTATAAGTCGGGCTTTCCCACCCCAGCTCAGGGCAACCACCGGTCTCTTACCGTCCAAGTCGGCCTTTTCTGGGGCTCTCCTGCAGGCGGGAGCGTGTGACGGTGAGCCCTTGGGTCTGGCCTCTGTCTCTCATGAAGACTCTGAGGTTCCTCTGAATGGTGGCGAGTGCCAGGGGCTCGCTCATTTTCCCTGCTGGATGGTGTTCTGGTATCTGATGGGCCACACTTTGCCTGGCATGGCTGACGGACAGTTAGGTCCTTACCAGTTCCTGGCTGTCACACACAGAGCTGTTGTCCAGGCTCTGGTGGAGTGAGTTCTGGTGCCCCGACGGTTCTGTGGACTCAAGCAAGTCAATTGCTTTGCCTTCCAGAGAGCCCTGGAAGGACAGTGCATTCCGTTTCCCTGTGGAGATGAGCAGGCTCTGTGAGGCTCCTGAGGTCGTCCTTCAAGGTCACTGGCGGAGTTAGGATTTGAACTGGGCTCAGGGGCAGGGCCACACTAGTTCCCTTTAAGCTGTGAACCATTTTGCATTTTAACTTTTTAATATAACTTAAATAACACTCTACACTGTTAAATTCGCCTTGGGAGTGGTTGAATTTCACCTTCAGTTGTTATGTCCTGTTCTATTTTATTAAAATGCCTCAACTTACAGAAAGCCGCAGGTGACATTACGATGATATTTGTGTTTTAGGTTTTGTCCACAGTTCCTGGCTCTCATCTTCCTCCTCCAGGCAGCCCACAGAAACTCCGGCTTCTCTTCCCTAGGTAGGCCATGGAAACTCATCTTTCCACACCTTGCTGTCTTGGAGCTGGCTATTCAAGGCATGATCTTGTTTGATGGCATCGCTAAGACCCCCATTTTGGAAGGGGTCCTGCCCCATGCTCAGGGGGAAGGAATGCTGCCCAGGGAGGTCAGGAACACTGCACAGACAGCCCTGCTGGGCCCCCAGCCGATGACTGGCACTGGATCAAGCCTTTTTCCACAATCACATTTGGACTTGGCCATGGGTCAATCGTGCCAACGCACAATAGCATTTGAGAGCTGGAGATTTCTGGAGGGTGGAGCTCCTGGAGAGGGCTCAGAGGCCCTGTGACCCTCCCACGCCCAGCCCTGTGCGTCCCTTCTCCTGAATCCTTTGCAACATCCTTCACATCAACTGGCAGCTGTACAGGGTTCCCAGGGTTCTGGGAGCCCAAAGAAGACCATGAGAAGCCCGATGTGTACAGGTCAGTCAAAAGCACACCTGGGCTTGCAACTGGTGTCTGAAGTGTGTGGATGGGGCTGGTGGGGGCAGGCTGGGGACCTGACACTGCCTCCAGGCAGGTGTCCACTGCAGAACTGCTTGCTTGGTGTGTGGGGAGCCTGCCCCCCATATGGCATCCAAGCCGACTGTGCCACGAGGGTGGGGCAGAGACACAGCAGAGGCTGAGCTGGGCTTTCTCTGCATGCCTAGGGCCTGCCTTGCCTTTGGGTGTGGGCTGGTGCTGTAGCCTTCCCTCCAGGACATGCTTGCTTTACACTCTGAAGTCACAGAGTCCACGTCACAGGAACCAAGCATTCAGGCTCGTAATGGCTGGTGCTAACAAGACGCATCAGGAAGACCTCCATCACCCCTCTGAGTGGTTTATCAAGAAAACTTAGTGTAGTTCATTACTTTCTGGGGGTCGGAGGAGGAGCTGGGGATTGAACGCTGGGCCTTGCATTGCTAAGTGGGTCTGCTTCACCACTGGGCACGCCTGCTCCGCTTGCTCCATTACTTTCTTAACCAAAAGATAGGACAGCAGATTCCCAGGTCTAGACTCTGTTAGTGACGTCCAGGGCTGTTTTCACACTTCAGATTAAAACAGCCCAGGAGAGCAGGACGGCTCTCCAGAGCATTGGGCTTGGTACATTAGTTACTGGATTGCTGGGACCTCGGTTTCCTCATCTGTAAATGGGGACCATGGGTCAATCAATCGTGGGGGCCGTCTGAAGACTAAAGACTTGGCAGTGGAAAGAGAGCCGGCACCTACAGTAAGCACTGGGTCACGTTGACCATGACCACTGTCTCCCCAACAGCTTCCACGTCACCCTGGGACCCCGTGAGGCCATGCAGCTGGACTCCCCATTTCAGTATGAAAAACTTCAGACATAGGAAAGACTGAAAGAATCCCTCCCATGCACACCCTGCTCCACCGCAGCTTTACTGAGATATACTGAATAGAAATGGTACCTATCCACGTTGTGCAACGGGGTGTTCTGACCCAGGAGAAGCGGTCTCCACAGTCGAGCTGGCAGATCCATGGCCTCACAAGGTCATCTTTTTGTGTGTGTGTGTGATGAGAACACTGAAGACCGACTTTCTTAGGAAACTTGAAGTGTGTGTGGTCACTATGGTGTCATTAGACCCCCTCATCCTGCACACCAGGAACTTGGTGCCCTTTGACCCAGGTCTCCCTGTTCTCCCCCCTCCTGGCTCTGACCACCCCATTCCACTTCCTGGTCCTACGAGATTCCACACACGAGTGTGTGATTCCCTTTCTGAGCCTGGCTTACTTCACGTGGCTCCGTCCTCCGACTCCACCCACATGGCCACACGTGATATCTTGCTGTATTTCATTTATTTCCTGATGGCTGTATTTTCCCCCCAAACCATCCAACAGCAAATAGCCGTCAACATGCCCTCATTGCTGGACACCCCAGCGTGCAGCTCTTGAGAGCAAGGTACTGTCCCCAGCAGCCACCAGGGTCGGTGACGCTAAAAGACCACCTGTCCCCACTCAGGCTGTCTGATCCCACAGAGGACACTGTCTGGCTTCAGATGTTTTGCCAATCTGATGAGGGCAAGCTGTCTCTGCTGTGGTTGTGTAAGTCTCTCTTAGTACCACTGAGATGGAATAGCTTTTTACATGGTCAAAGAGATCGTGCTCATTTTCCCGTGAGTATCTGCTCATGGCTTTGGTCCATTTTGAAATCATATTTTTGGCTTCTTCACCTCTGCTTTTAAGAACGCCTTAATTCCTGATGAGATTAAGGAGTTAGTTACAAATTGTGAATATTTCTGTACAAATCACAAGTTACAAACGTCTTCTCCCATTTGTCTTACGGAGCTTGTAGGCATGAAAAGCTGGCTTAAAAAATGGGCTTTATTATTATGCAGCTGAACTTACAAAGCTTTTACTGGATCGGTTCTGGACTTGGAGTCCTAGACAGACTCAAAACTTTCTTGCTCCTGGTTTATAGAGGAATCCCCTCACGTTTTCTTGTAGAAGTTGTAAGATTCCATTTGAAAACCCCATCTCTGGAGCGCTTGGGGTCTCTCTGGGTTTTTGGTGGGAGGTCTGGATGCACTTTTACTGCTTTCCCAAATGGTCATCCACTGGTCCCCTCGTGGCTTAGCGACGACCCTGCTCCGGCCACTCCAGACGTGGACATTCCCCCTGTGTCCTTGGGTGCTCCTCTGGACCTCCCCTGTGCCCCCTGTTCTGCCTTCCACGTCCACTTTCCCAACAGGCTCGAGGTGTGCGTTCCTGCCTGGTGGCCGACAGGAGGCCGTGACAGCCCTTCTTTAATATTCCTGGCTATTTTTGATTGTCTGTTATTTAATATCAACTCCATAATCAACTTGTTAAATTCCAGGGAAAGAAACCAAACCAAACCAAACAGCCCACCTTCATTCTTTTCTCAAGGACTGTGCTAGACAGTCTACAGACCTGGGCCAAAGGGACATCTGAGGGCAGGCCTCAGGGCACGGAGTCTTCCAGGACAGGGGAGGCACACAGCTCCACTGTGCGTATATACGGGGTCTCTGAGGAATGGGTCCTACAATGGGTTGGATTGTGTCCCCCAAAAGATACACTCAAGTCCTAACCCAAGCTATACCTCAGTCCTACCTCAGAACCTGATCTCATTTAGAAATATGGTCTTTACAGAGGTAATCAAATCACAATGAGCGCATTAGGGTGGTCCTAATCCCAATAACTGGTGTCCTTTGGGGGAGAGGTAGTTCAGACAGACAGATATGCGTGAAGAAATAGCAATCCTAGGGTTGCTGTTTCCGGGTGTGGTGGTGCATGCCTGTCATCCCAGTGAGTCAAGAGGCTGAAGCAGGAGGATTGAAAAGTGAAGGCTGTCCTCAGCAACTAAGCAAGACCCTGTCTCAAAATAAATCCCAGAGCTCAGGAGGCTGAGGCAGGAGGATTGCGAGTTCAAATCCAGCCTCAGCAAAACCGAGGCGTTAAGCAACTCAGTGAGACCCTGTCTCTAAATAAAATACAAAATAGGGCTGGGGATGTGGCTCAGTGGGTAAACATCTCTTGGTTCAACCCCTGGTATCCCCCCAAAATAAAAAAAAAAAGATGAAGGCAGAGGTGGGGTGGCATGCCTGCAAGCTGCCAAGGAAGGCTAGAGACGGCCAGCAAGCCACCAGAAGCCTTGTGACAAGCAGGCATCAGATTGTCCCTGGAACCCGAGGAAGGAGCCAAGCCCGCCGTCCTCCTGATCTCAGGCTTCAGCCCCCAGGTCCCCGAGTCTCCGTAGCTGGACCACCCTGAACGCGGTGCTCTGCTACGGCAGCCCTGGCCGACTAACGCAGGCCCCTGGAGGCCTCTTAGGCCAGAAGTGAGCCTCGCCTCAGCTCGAGGACACCCCAGCACACTGCGCTCTCCTGTCCCTGACCTCAGGTCACCAGGCCTGTTGCCCGCCTGCTTTGCAGTTGGAAGAAGGAGGCTGTGAACACATCAGGGCACTGGAGGTGTGACCTCACTCTCCATGGGTGGCCAAACCCACTGAGGCCAAGGCCAGCGCATGAGTCACTTGTCCACTGTGGCTCAGTGGGTCAGGGGGGCCAGGCAGAAGGCCCGAGTTCGGGGGATATTTCCTTCCCCCTTTCCCTTAGAACCTAGAAACAGCCTCCTACAAGTTATCACCACAAGAAATAGTGAGATGGCAGACGCCCCTCCCTCGTGTCACGCCTGCCTGTGCCATGGTGAGATAAGGACAAGGACTTAGCGGGCAGGGACAGAGCACTCGCTGTGTGCCTTTGGACAAGCTACTGAACCTCTCTGGGCCTCGGTGCCCCCTTGTCTTCTCAAGGGGGTGAGGAGGGCCCCTACCTCACAGAGCGTGTGTCACCGTCACAGGAGGAACATTTGGTCAAGAGCCAGGTCCATAGCAACAGTCATCACTATTCCCAGGAACGGCCCCCAAATAACTTACCCAAAAAGGCAAGGTTGGCCTTCCCAGTTTGGAGTCCTCACCCATGATCCCGAGCACACTGCCCAGAGCACCGCCTCCTGCTTCCCCAGGGAAGAGGTGGAATAAAGTATGACCTCATCTGCCCCCGCCAGCGTTAATTACTGAGCGCTTTCTAATTATGAAAAGGAAATTATATCTCAATTCATACTCTGTTAAAAAAAAAAAAAAAAAAGGAAAAGAAAGAGCCCTCAGAGGCTGTCACTTCTGGGCCAGGCGTCGGCCCCCAGCCAGCAGCAGGGGTGTGGCCGGCCATGGTGGGCAGGCGCGTCCTCCGTCCAGGGCAGCAGCCTGAGTCATCAGGCCCTGCTGCAGGTCGGGCCTCCGGCTCCTGTGCTGTCCCCCTGTGTGTGTCCAGCCAACCTTGCTCTGAGTTCTGTGCTGGGGACCAAGAGGCAGAACACATGTCCCTGCTCCCTGGCCAGGGGGAGGGACACAGTCATCACGGGGCCTGGTCCCCGCGGGGAACCCTAGGGTGGCTATTTCCACACACATGGACCCTCAGCAGGGACTTCAGGGCTGTCACTGCTCCCAGTTTAGGGGAGGGAGGGGGACTGAGGCCCCACGAGACAGGAGGGAGGCGGGAGGTGACAGAGGCCCGGTGCCCAGAGCCCCTGTTCTGTGTCAGCCTGTCCCAGGCCCTTCCCTGGTCCCCCATGTTCTACCTGGGTGCTAGGTGCAAAGGGGCCTGATCCCCACGGGAGCGTCATTGGCCAGGTGACTTTCCCACCCTGGGCCTGGCTACCTTGCTGGGTTCGTGGGGCCCGGGGTGTCATTGGCTCTAGGGCTCTTTACCAGCCCACACACCACCAAGAAAGAAAAGTGCCACGGCCTGCCGTGTCACTGAGGGGTGACGTGTCCCCACTCCTAAGTCACATTCCCGCCTGGGAACAGCGTGCCTTCCATACAAGGAAACACAGCAGAAGCAGTGACTGCCTTAAACAGGGCCTCACAAGCCCCGAGTGGCTACAGGCACAAGGCTGGCCCTTCCTGATGCCACCAAACCCCTTTCCAGCCAGCTGTGGGTCTCAGCGCAGGTCAGGGGTGAGCAAACTCTGCCTTAAAGCGGCAGAGTGAGTACCTAATGCTTTTGTGAACCACAGTCTCTGTCACAATGCGTGGGCCTACGTGCCGATAAAACTTTATTTATAAGCACCCACAGTTGAATTTCCTGTGACTTTCACTTGTCACAAAATACGAGGCTTCTTTCTATTGTTTTTGCCCCCGTCATTTAAAATGTGAAAACTACCCTTGTGAGCTGTGCAGAGGCAGGGGATGCCTTGGCACAATGGGCTGGGGGCTGCTGATCCTGTCTCCGGGCTCTTCATATCGGCCCTGCAAGAGACACGCGTTTCTTATTCTCATTTTATCAACCAGGCAGTGTCATAGAAGCCACATGCCCAGCCACACACAGCTGGGAAGTGGGCGAGCTGTGTCCAACAAGCTTGGTTTGAAGAACACTGCTGCCCTAAATATGTTTGCCTTTTAACATTTTTTCCTTTTCCTCTTGGTTACCAAAATTACACATTTGAGATTTACAAGGAAGAAAAGGAAAGTAACTCCACCCTCCAGAGATAAACAGTGTTGAAGGTTTTGAAAACACGACGCACCCACACTGACTAGTTCCAATGTTCTGAACACTGTGTGACTTGGGAAGAGTTGCTTAACCTCTCTGAGTCCTTGTCTTTTACATAAGGGAGCTGGATGAGCTTTGTCAGCTCGGCAGGCTCCCAGCCCTGACTGTGGAGATGGTTTGCAAGGATTGCACAATAGCAGCTGGCTCTGTCCTAATGCTTGGGTGTGGAGGGTGAGGTCAGCCTTTGCCAGCCACTCAGGGTAGGCCTGGGTGGAGCTCAGTCAGCCTGCCTGGGGCTACACACTGAATGGCTGTGGAAAGGTGCAGGGACCCTAAGGCTCCAGCTGGGGTCCTAGGAGGCCCCAGGCTGGTTCCAGGCACTGCCCTCCCTACTCAGGGAGGAGAGTGCAGAGCCAGCTGGGAGGCTAAGGCTCTGGCCAGTGGGTGCCTGGCCTCAGCTGGAAGGACTGAGGCCTCAACAGAGCAGGGGGACATGGCTGGATGCCTGGGCCCATCTCTTGAGCCAGAGTTTGGATCTGTGTCTAATGGTGACCAGCTGTGTGACCTTGGGCAGGTCACCCCTCGGGCCTATTTCCTTCCTAAAATTTGAGGTCCATCAGCCCCCCTCAGGGTCTCCCACAAGCTCATGAAAGGCCACCTTCTAGGGCCCGGCATGAGGAAAGGCTCAATAGGCATGAGTTCCAGCCCTTTTTTTTTCTGCTATTTTTCAACATTTAAAAAATCCGACCCTCTCCCTGAACAGAGCGGGTTGCTCCATTGTGGTCCATCGAGATAAAGGAAGCTCAACCCAGTAAAGTCGCGCCACCCTTGGCCATGTGCATGGTGCCTGCCCTGTGCACGCCTTGTCCAGTTACCTGCCATTTTATACTGGACCCCTGGACTGCTCTGATGCTGAATGCCCTTCCCTGTCCATGCCCCACAAGGACTTTGGGTCACTTCCCCCAACTTTGCTCCCTTTCGGCAGGAAGCAGCTTGGAGATGTTGTCACCCGTTTTTCCACAGACATGGAAGGTAGACTGGACCGTGGGGCAATGCAGCAGTGTCCACTTTATGCTTGAGATGTAGCCCTTGCTGCTCGGCCACTGCAATTGATTTTTAAAATGGACATGTTTCTTCCCTTCCTAATCTCAGGGGAAATAGGATTACCTCTCTCCCCATCCCAGGCAGAGTTATCCGTCCTGAGGACACACCCACCATAGGAAGGAAGGAGTCCAGACTGGGGGATGGTACCAGAGGGCCTCAGAAATGACCATCTCCCCAATTAACAAGTGAATTCAACTCCAGACAGAGAACAAGGGAAATGCAGCCTTTGAATCACCTCTTTAAAAGCGCCCTGTTGCTGCTGATGTGCAGAATCATAGCCTCTGGGACAGGAGTCCCCTGTGTTTCTCTTTTGCTAGCAAAGTAATAAACCTTCCTTTTCCTTTTTCTCAAAAAATTCTACCTTTTCACATATTGTGGAACTACTGTGTGCCACCAAAGGCAACAGGTGGGGGACTTGGAGGGGAGAAGACAGTCCCGCTGTCAAGTGAGTGACTTTCACCCTTTCATCCAATCAGACATCAGGAGGAGGTCCTCCAGGCCCAGGAGGAAGATGTGGAAGACACAGGGGAGTCTCCCTGACAGCAGTTCTGGCCTCACGTCTTGTGTGGTGGAAGACCCGATGGCATACTGGCTGGACGAGGTGGGCAGAGCGAGCAAGGGCCCTGGTGGGAAAGAAGGAGAACATTCGAGGAAACCAACCCACCAGCGTCAGCCAGGAGTGGGAGCTGAGGGGGACAGCCAGCCAAGGGAGGACCCCGTGGGGCTGTGGATGGGGTGGGACACAGGGAGCCCCAAGAGGTCCCTGAGCTTGATGACCACCACATGGTGAAGGGGCTGCGGACTCTTGAGAGAGCGCGCGTGGCTGGGGCATTGTCCCCTCTCCTGTGAGCAGACCCAGATGTGGTCCACCCTGGCCCTGTCCTCCCAGTTTGTCTTTGTCCTGCGTGGGCATCATTCCCAGTTTACAGAGGGGGAAGCTGAGGCTCAGAACTGACGAGCTGCCTGCCCACAGGCACCAGGCAGACGGTGGCCAGGTCCGCTTTCTAATCGCCATTCATGGGAGTGCCCCCCCCCCCAGGAGCATGTTGCTCCCTCCCTCCTTCACAGGAAGGGGCTCACTCACCAGGTGTAGCTTCAAGGCCACACACTGAAGGTGGGGAGTCCAGGCTCCTCCTCCTCACCCCTGCAGCCACCAGGCTTATCCCCAAGCCCACTAAGAACAGGGAACCAGGTGAGAAAGGCCCAGCTCTTCCCTGGGTCTACGTCCTCCGATTCATCCTGCTTCTTCCCACGACAGCCAGGCCCACAGCTGTCTTTCTGCCCTGCCCTCGTGGACTCTGGTCTCTCGTCACCTGACTGTGCCAGCCTCTCTCTGGCTCTGTCACATTCAGGGGCAGCGTCCCCTGCTCCTGAGTCATATGGGACCTGGGTAGCTACACTTTTACCATGTCTCTGCGCAGGTGGCCCAATGACCTGTATTGTAGGGGTCAAGGACGAAACTTCCCTGAGCTGAGCTGTCCCACCCACATCTCTGAGAGTCTCCCATGAGCTGGGCCTGGCAGTGACCTGCGGATGCCAGTGCTGGGGAAACCCAACAGATTGGGCGAATCCTAAGGAGAAGGCAGCTGGACCCTGCTTGCCTATACCCACCTCCGGGGCCTCACGCCAGCCACAAGGTGGGCTGCTGTAGGCCCACCCTAAGGACGTGGCCCTGGAGGCTCAAGAGGAGCAGTGAACCAGCAGCAGGGGCTCCAGCAGCAGGGGCTCCAGCCTCCCCTCTCTGCCCTTTCCGACAAGGGGTAAAAGGCAAGCCCAGAGGGCACAGACGCCAGACTCCAGGGCAGGACCATGCTACCACCATGATATTTGTATAAAAAGCTGTCTTTCTGAAAAATTTGGGGAGGGGAAGGCATAATGAATGTTGTTGGTTAAAAAAAAAATGGGGACAAATCAAGTCGGTATGCTGTGAAAAAACCAGCAGCTGACACGGAATGAGTCAACGCAAAAAGTATGTTGAGGTCCTCAGCTGAATAAGTAGGATAAACAAATAAAGAATGTCTTCGCCTTCTTTCTCTCTTTTGAGATACCGGGAGGGCGCAGCTCTTATCTGAAGACTGCTTGGGTGTTTTCCTCGACCTATGGTCAGAGGAAGGTAGAAAATGCCCTTTAACAAAAAGTTCAGTGTCCTGAACTTCTAGAAGAACCCAGGCGGAAAGTTTGCGCCTGCGAGGGCACTTAAGTTAACGGAGGCAAATGCAGAAGTTGTTCTGATCCCCAGAGCAACGACACAGAGTGGCCAGCAAAGCCCCTCCCCCAGGGCAGGGGAGGAAACCGCAGAATGTTCCTGACTCGGCAACCCCAGCGCGGGTGGCGCAATGTTTATGTTTGTGTATCTACTACGTCCATGTCACCGCCGCGGGCTCGGCTGCCCAGGGGCCTGGGGTTGGGGGGAAGGTCCCGCAGGGGGTCTTGCCTGGCGTTTCGGTGCAGGTCCTGGCGACCCGCCCAGAGCGCCGCGGGATGGGGTTCCGAGTTCGGCCTGTGCAGATGGCAGGGGTCAGGGAGTGGCAGGCGGGCCGGCCGGCTCGTGTGGGGGTTGTTCCCAGAGCCAAACAAAGCCAGTGGCATGACCCCAGAGACAGGAACCCGACGCACAGTAGGCGCTCTATCAGCGCATATTTGTGGAGTGAGGAAAGAGATGGAGAAGCGTGTCTGGCTGCCCCTCGGGGGCGCTGTCGAGCTGCGCGGTGGGTCGCCCGGGTTCCCCCACATGTTGAACCCCCGGAATCCGCAGTCAGCCTCGAGGGCCGTCCGATTCCCGGCCCCCGATTCGCCCTTGGCTCACCTCTTCCGGGGACCACCTGAGCAGGCAGGATAGTTTTTCACTAGGGGCATTTTCCTTGCCCGTAGTTAGAAAAGAAAAGAAAAAGAAGGAAGGAAGGAAGAAAGAAAGAAAGAAAAGAAAGAAAGAAATTAAAGCTACAGTATAAACTGGGAAACAGGAAGACGTTTCCCGAACCTCTCCGGCCCGGGGCACTCTGGCCGTCCTAAGTTCACATGTAAGTGGGGACAAAGTCATCAGTCTTCTCTAACCCTCATCTCGGGGTCCTTTCTGCTACCCCCACCCCACCCACCCGGAAGCGTGATGCTGGGCAAGTTGGTCACTTCTCCTTGGGAACCCCAGTTTCCCCACCCCTCGGCGGGAAGACAATGAGAGCAAGGGGCCCGTATTATGCAAAATCGCAGGCAGCCCCTTTCCGCGGGGGTCGAGAAGGAGGTCTCCGAGGCCGGGGAGGGCAGCGGGCACCCGCAGGTGGCACGGGACGCGCCCTCCTAGCCGCTGGCGACCCGATCAGCCCTAGCCTGGCAGCGCGCCGCCTTCTCCCGCGGGCTCGGGAGAGCGCGGCTGGCCGGGCCTGGGGGACGCGGGCGGCTGGGAGGGCGCAGCCGGACAGCAGGGCGGGGGCCGGGGCGCGAGCCAGCGCGCCGCAGCGGACCGGTTTAGAGGCCGATGACGTCTTTGCCTCTGGCTGTGCGGCGCCCGGCCCGAGCGGGGGGGTGACGTCACCGCTCACCACGTGATCACCATTCAAACAAACAAACCCTCCCCCCCGCCGGCCCGTCCGCCCCGCCCCGCCACAGGCCGCTTATAAACGCGCCGCCCCCGGCCGAGCGCAGTGCGAAGGACAAGACGACAGCCGGGCGCCGTGGGCCGATCGCAGGGCAGACGGGATAGCAGAGAGCAAGCGAGGCCCGGAGTCCCGCTAGCACCCCTTGCTAGGTCCGAGAGCAGGTTCTGTTTCGGCGCAGAGACCCAGGGTCGGGCTTTTCTTCGAAAGCCGCCGCCCTGCCCTTGACTTCCGAGGACAAAGAGCAGAGAGGACCGGGCACGCTGGGGGCGCTGGGGCCGGCCATGGTCATGGAGGTGGGCACGCTGGACGCCGGAGGCCTGCGGGCGCTGCTGCGGGAGCGCGCGGCGCAGTGCCTGCTGCTGGACTGCCGCTCCTTCTTCGCGTTCAATGCCGGCCACATCGCCGGCTCCGTCAACGTGCGCTTTAGCACCATCGTGCGGCGCCGTGCCAAGGGCGCCATGGGCCTGGAACACATCGTGCCCAACGCCGAGCTTCGCGGCCGCCTGCTGGCTGGCTCCTACCACGCCGTGGTTCTGCTGGACGAACGCAGTGTCGCCCTGGACGGCGCCAAGCGCGACAGCACCTTGGCCCTGGCCGCTGGAGCGCTCTGTCGCGAGGCGCGGGCCGCGCAAGTCTTCTTCCTCAAAGGTACGCCCTTGGGGAGCGCCTCGCCGACCTCGTACACGGACCCCTGGCCCTCGGCTCCTGGCGGGGGGCGGCCCCACCTGCGGCGCTGGGCGCCCACGTCCTGTCTCTGGGGTCATGCCACTGGCTTTGTTTGGCTCTAGGAACAAAGACTTGCCTGAGCCTCTTGGATGTAAACTCCCAGCCCCTGGTGGGTGGGGGAGTTGTCTCAAGGTGCTCCCTTCCCGTGGTTCTAATGGAAAAAAAAATGTCTTTGTCTTCCCAGGAGGGTATGAAGCTTTTTCAGCTTCCTGTCCGGAGCTCTGTAGCAAACAGTCGACCCCCATGGGGCTCAGCCTTCCCCTGAGTACTAGTGTCCCTGACAGCACAGAATCTGGATGCAGTTCCTGCAGCACCCCACTTTACGACCAGGTTAGTAGGGGCCCAAGCCAGAAGGAAGAAGTAAGAGCTGGCCAAGGCCTGGGACATGGGTGCCAGTGAGAATGTAGAAAGTGACTGCGGCTTTATAACAGGAACAACGTGAGGTCTTATTGTTCCCCTGTTGAGGGGTCTGATGAAGCCGAGTCCCTTATTGCTGGCATTGCAGAAGTTGACGCGCTGGCCCTGTCCAGGCACATGGGCTTCTGCTCTCTTTATTTATACTCCATCAGTAGAGCCTGGAAGGGCCCCCGGAATCTGGAACTCACTTTCTGGCAGGGAGTTTTGTAGGTGTGGGCACTGGTGCTTACTTGGAACAGGCTTGATGAGTGCTGGATTTTTCTGGATTTCAGGGTGGCCCAGTGGAGATCCTGCCCTTCTTGTACCTGGGCAGTGCCTACCATGCTTCCCGAAAGGACATGCTGGATGCCTTGGGCATCACTGCCCTGATCAATGTTTCAGCCAATTGCCCCAACCACTTTGAGGGCCACTACCAGTACAAGAGCATTCCTGTGGAGGACAACCACAAGGCGGACATCAGCTCCTGGTTCAACGAGGCCATAGACTTCATAGGTGAGCAAGGCCACCTGGGCCATTTCTGCCCCTCCCCATTTGGGTGACAGCACAGCCCCTTTGGCAAGGATTAAGTTGAATGATCCCTATCTGAGCCTTTCAGACATTAGATACTAATCTGGTGTCACAGCGTCCCTGCAAAATATGGAAGTTGATGTCCCACTTCACAGAGGCTCAGAAAGGTGGATCAATTTGTTGAAGATCCATCTGCTAAGTGGGCACCTATCTGGGTTTAAATCCCTTGCTGTCCTTTGCCTAACGCCCATGTTCCCTCCATGAATAGTGCCCAGTGGCTGCGTGAGGTGATGCTGACCCCCTGGCTAGGACAAGCATGACATTTTGCACATCCCACCCTTGGCTCGGGTTCTCCTCCTGAGCTCCGGCTTCCTTTGTCTTCCAGATTCCATCAAGAATGCAGGGGGAAGGGTGTTTGTCCACTGCCAGGCGGGCATTTCCCGGTCAGCCACCATCTGCCTCGCTTACCTCATGAGGACTAACCGGGTGAAGCTGGATGAGGCCTTTGAGTTCGTGAAGCAGAGGCGAAGCATCATCTCCCCCAATTTCAGCTTCATGGGCCAGCTGCTGCAGTTCGAGTCCCAGGTGCTGGCCCCGCACTGCTCGGCTGAGGCCGGGAGCCCTGCCATGGCTGTGCTGGACCGAGGCACCTCCACCACCACTGTCTTCAACTTCCCCGTCTCCATCCCTGTCCACTCCACGAACAGTGCCCTCAGCTACCTTCAGAGCCCCATCACCACCTCCCCCAGCTGCTGAAAGGCCCTGGAGGAGCTTCCGTTCCTCCAGGACCGCAGGCTCTTTCTCCAGAGGAGAGGCAGTAACTCCAGAGATGGGCTTGTGGGTGCTGGTCCTTATTTATTTAATTTCACCCAAGTTCCCTGGGTTCTGAGCAGTTGCCATGGTGACAGCGTCAAGACGTTTGCTGAACTCAGCACGTTGCGGACCAATATACAGTGGGTACATCAAGTCCCTCTGACAAAACGGGGCAGAAGAGAAAGGACTCTGTGTGTGAGCTGCTTTCTCTTCACTTGCCTCCGTTTTTTTCTAGAAACTTGATGCTTGACATACCTACCAGTATTACCATTCCCGATGACATATATGTATGAGAATATACCTTATTTATTTTCCCGTAGGCGGTCTGCCTTCACAAATGTGTCTACTCCTAGAAGAACCAAATACCTCAATTTTTGTGTTCAGTACTGTACTATCTTGTAAATAGATCTGAGCAGGTCTGTTCTCACCACTGGTGGAAAACACCAGTGTTGGTTTATTTAGTTGCCAACAGTTGTGTGTTTGCTGGTTATTTATGACCTGAAATAATATATTCCTTCTTCTAAGAAGACATTTTGTTATATAAGGATGAATTTTTTTATACAACAGAATAAATTATGTGATTTCTATGAAAATCTCAATGCTTGTTTC